TGTAGCCCCCCCCCCCCATTTCCATTTTCTAGGGCTAGAATTACAATGGGCTGCCATGCTTACCAGGCATTTTACTTGAGTCCCTAGGGAGTGGGTCACTTAGGTAACATTGACCACATCCCCAGCCCCAGGAGCCCTCTTTTAAGAGATATTTTAAGCTACACTGTGGCTCAGTGGTAGAACAATTGCTTACTATGAACAAAAAAAAAATTGGATGAGATCCCAGCACCAAATAAATAAATACATAAATAAAACATTTAGAAATTTTAGGTGGTTTTCACTCCAGTAGGGCAAAACCCAAGGTCCCACAGCACCTCCAAACATCTGGATAAGAGCCCAGGGCTCGGTGGGGTATGGCAGATGGAAGCTAGTAGGTCATGGAAGAACTCCACTTAAAGGTGCCCACCACCAGCCCAGCACAGTGGAGGACTAACCTGGGGGAACAGACCTGTTGTCTTCCCTTCCCAGGCAATGGCAGCATCCTCCATACAGAGTACCCAGAGAGCATTCAAGGCATAGGGATGGAATTACTGAGCAGTGTCACTGAGGAAAAGCAGGTAACCATGTCCCAAATCTGCTCACCTGCATTTGCTTTGGTGCCAGTCTCCCTGAGCCCTGCAGCCCGAGGCCCACTGTGCTTGCCATCCAACTGAAGTCCCTGCAGCTGCTCTCACAGGCCTTGGACTCCAACAAGCCTGGATTCCCTTCCTGTCACACTTCTCCTCTCTCTGAGAGAGAATCAGCCACTGCCCCTCTCAGAAACAGGGCTTAGGACATATGCTCTGAGAGGGCGCATGCTATCCCACCCACCCTGCCTCCAGCATCTCCTCCCTTTGGGCAAACCCTCCAGAGGATGGTGACAAGCCAATGGACCACCGTAGGGGGTGGGTGTGTGGCACACCTGAATTAGGTGGGCTGGGGAGCCAGACCAGAATGGTGAGTTCTAGTTTTACCTAAATCATTCATATGTATGAAAGTCATTTCACTCTTGTCTCTTTCCTCCCCTGTACAAAGAGGGTGATGATCGCTGCCTCCTAAGATCCCTGGGGAATCCTGTGAGGTAAATAAGGCAAGTCTCCAGTGCCACAAAATTATACCTGTGCTACATTTCTGTCCTGGTTACCAGGAGATTGGAAGATCTTAGCCTGTGTTGTGGAAGTGTGAGAAGCATATCTCATGGGTAGGATGATAAACAGGAAAAATTAGACATGTACCAATTCCATAAACATGCCCACCCAAATCTGCCCACCCAGGCCGGCCACACAGATCACCTTCTAATCTAAGAAAGCAAAAATCTTGGAAACTTCCTCCATATCTATCAGTGGGGTCAACTTAAACACACAATGGTCCGTATGTACGATGCCCCATAGGCCACATCAGTGGTGTGGGTCCTGCCAGTAGACACGAGACTGGTGCTGTGACATTAAATGAAAAAGCCACATGCAGAACAGTGTCAACTTAGACACTTCCCCTGTTCCCTAGCTATGAACTTTTAGGTGTGGCTCCTAGTTAGAGAGATCATGCAGTGCTAAGAACCCCAGAACATCTCCTCTATTTCCCATTTGACGATCCCAGATCCGGTTTACACCTAGAAGGTGGGCAAGTGAGTGGATTTTTCTTCTTATTTTTTTCCAGGCAGGGTCTCACTATGTAGCCCTGGTTGTCCTGGAACTCACCCTGTAGACCAGACTGGCCTCAAACTCACAGAGATCCACTGTCTCTGCCTCCTGAGTGCTGGGCTTAACGGTGTGTGCCACTACTCCTGGCTTGAGTTTTCTTATAAAGCAATAGCTTCCAGCCCACATCCTGACTTCCCATGCCCGTTCCATTCTGGTGCCCTTGCTGCCTGGCAGGCAGAGTGATGCTTGCAGATTGCACATCTGACACCATGCCTCCCCTGCTGGCACTCTCTAATGGATCCTGTCCTAGAATGACCTCAGAAGAAAGTGGAGAAAGCTTGGCTGCCCCTGGGTCTAGTCCTTCACCTTTGACCTCTCTGACCTCACCCCAGCTTTCTTTCCCCCCCCCCCCAGTTAGAGCTTGGGGGCTCTTCAGCTTCCACAGCCACTCCAGTTACACTTTGTCTTCAGAGCTTTTGCATGTCTGTTACCCCTGAATGGATTGCTCTTTGCTTAAAGCATTTTCTTTGTGTGGAACATTCCTGTTTCTTTCAAGATCCTGGACAAAAAGTCACATTCCCTGGCTCCCCTTCAGGAGGTTGGCTCACCCCACTCCTGTCCCTAAACTCTCATTTTATGGCTCTCAGATCACTTGTCTATTCTGTGTTTATTTGCATACTGTACATTAATGATAGGCTATTTATTTACTATGTATCTGTATTTACCTCCCACTGGAGGGATTTTACTTTTGTTGGGCTATTAAATAGTTAATCATCAAAGCTTAGAACCATGGCTGGTACCCAATGACCTGTTAATAATGAAGCCATCTTAGCCATCTTAACTCCTGTCCTTTTATTTTTCCTTGTGTAGCCCAGACTGGCCTCAAATTGACTAGGCAGTCAAGGTTAGCCTTGAACTCCTGATCTCCCAACTTCCATCTCCCGAGTGTCCTACCATGCATGCCCAGTTTATCACCTGTCCTCTTAAAGAGATAAATCCTAAATGAATAGGAACAGTGAGTTCTGAGTTCATAAATGAGAATATCCCAATTGCCAGGGGCATGGCTATCCTGTCCCTGAGGATCTTGGAAAGGGCAAGGAAAGAATGTGGTTGGTACAGCCTGCCTTCATTTTTGAATAAAGTTTTGGCTCAAGTTGGAGTCATTCTCTTCCTCGCTGACTCAAGTCCCCATGCTTCCAGAGTTCTTTGCCTCTGCTCTGTTATGTGACTCAGGTTGGGAAATTCATGTGCCTGTGAGTTCCCCTGTCCCTGTCCCCACTGCTCATGGCCAGATTGGGTTCCACCCCTCATCCTGCCCACAAGTCATATCATCATCACCCATTCCACCCAGTGCCCCTTTGCCCCCCAACGTTGGTGCCCTCTGCCTGGAAGAAAAAAAAAAAAACTTTCTCCCATTTTTCCCAAGTTGTTCTGTTCCAAAACAAGTTTTCCAGGCTAACCTACCACGCTACTGGTTCCCTCAGCCCTGAGCTAAGCTGTTCTGAACCTGTGGCCTGTGTGGCAAGCCCACCATGCCACCAAACCTCAGGCAGGATATGTTGCTCAATCAGAGCCTCATACCCAAAAGACTCGGAAATCCTGCATGTCCCCCTTCACCAAGAGCCGGCTGCACTGATACAGCTCAGAAGAAACCACAAAACCACATTGAAAAGAAGCAGGGCTGCTTCACCCCTAGCCCCTCCTCACTCTTGACTTACAGAGAGAAAATCGCAAAAGGCTTGAGTACCAGCAAGACAGTGATGATGCTGTACTCACAGAGGGCTTCTGTCCATTACAAACTTATCTAAGTTCTTTGTGCACATTTTCTCATCTCACAAGAAATCTACAAAGTGGCACTAGTTTCACCACTGCCACCTCGATTTCTTTCTTTTTTCTTTTTCTTTTTCTTTTCTTTCTTTCTCCCTCCCCTTATTTGAGACAGTCTCAAGTAGCCCAGGCTGACCTCAAGCTCTCTACGTAGCTGAGGCTGACCTTAAACTTCCAGTCCTCTTGTCCCTTCTCCAGAGTGCCAGGACTATAGGCATAAATTATCACACCGGATTTATGTGATGTTTGAGAATTTGAGGGAAGTACTGTACCAACTGAGCTACATCCCTAGCCCCTAGTTTCATTTTCTAGATAAGAAAACTGAAGTACAGAAAGGCTAAGACAATCACATAGACAGTGCATAGTTAAACAGGCCTGCAGTGGAATTGTAGTATCTCTTCCTGCCCACTCCCATTTCCCTAGCCCTGAGGACCATTTTAACTGTTTCATGACTGTGTGATGGTTATTTTTAGTACCAATTTGCTACAAATTAGAATCACTTCAGTAAGGGAGCTTCCACTCAAGAATCATGCTGGCTTAACTTGCTGACTTAACTGATGTGGGAAGATCCACCCCAAATGTGGGTGTCACCGTCTGGTAGCCGCCCAGATACAAAGGACATGCCAGAAGAAATGGTAGTGGCCTTCAGCCCACGTGGCCTTCCCTTTTGCTGTCAAGTTAACTCACCCTGTTGCTGCTGCTGTTGCTGTTTCCATCACTGAGAGCAGAACCAACATTTCTGGGTTTCTGTCATAGACCAAAGACCAGTGGCTCTTCAGGTTCTCAGCACCAGTTTGGGACTTGCCAAGGCACCAGCCTTGTGGACCGAGCAACTGCCTGGGTCTCAGCCTCTCAGGCGTGAGACAACTATAGTTACTATTTCAGTGAGAGCTGGTTTAGTAAATTCTTTAGATATGTGACATGTGGTATATACACATATATCATATGTATGAACATATATATGTATATGTATGCTGATTCATCCTATTGGTTCTGTTTCTTTAGGGAACGCTGACTATACAGGGCAGTATAGCAAAATGGATATAGAGTAGGAAGCAGGGAGCTGGGTTCTGGTTCAGTACAGCCATGTCTGAGAAAGTGTGGAAAGGGAAGAACTGGAGAGCAGGAGCTGAGGTGTCCTTCCCATTTAATTCCAGCTCGCACGTTACATCACTGCCATCACTATTTTGTAGTCTAAACCAATATCAGAAGTACTTCCACTTCAACTGACCACATACTGCTTAAAAAATAAAGAAGCGCTGTTTCTTGTGGGGTGTTATCTTTATCATCACACTCTGACTTCCAGGATCACTTGCAGCTATACCAGTTCTCCTGCAGAATACAGATCCCATGGAAATGGATAGGACATCTGTGGAACTCTACTTCCAGCCAGCTGAGAATGTGTTTGCTGGTGGAAGATACCAGGTTTTCATGACCTTTACCATCATGGAAGTTGAACTATTTTGAGCCAGCCGAATCAAAACATAATTAAGGAAGAAAACAATTTATTTCAAAAACTCTTTCAAAACAAGGTCAAACATTAAGAATATCTATTTCATAGCAATAATGAACTGAAAAATTACATAATAAACCTACCTTGTAAAACGCTTGAGACAGTATCCGAGTATGACTTTAGGGGTTATTCCTGTGTTTGTGTTCCGCTGCATCTTTAGAAATGACCTTGCACTTAACCAACCACTAAGAGAGAGAAAAGAGCAGCCTCAGAAGTTACATGGCAATAATATAGTTCATCAGTGAGTTGCCTCAGCTATCTCAGTCAGGACAGGCTAAGTGATGCTGCAGTGACAAGGTACCCCCAAGCCTTAAAGTGGCAGTCTTGATTCTTAGTTTGTTTTGTATCACTTTGGTTTTGTCTTTCTCATACAACGTGTTCATGACCTGTTGGCCAAGACTCAGCGTCTTCTTCACTCTTGGCTAATGGGACAATGAGTGCTCACAAATGACCATAGCAATTAACAACCCAACAATTCAACGATCTGGCCTAAAGTGACACGTGAAAGTGGTTGGCATAAGTGTTCAAGGGTTCTAACATAAGGCTAGTGATAATCTGAGGCATAACTTGCTGATTTGAGCTAGTAATGTGGTCCATCCATAGGTCCAAGCATCTGGAGCAGGGATCTTCAACCTGTTCATGGGGATTGCATGACAGATACCTGTATATCAGATATTTATATTACAATTCATAACAGTAGCAAAATTATAGTTATGGAGTAGCAACAAAATAATTTTATGGTTGGGGGTGACCACAACATGAGGAACTGTATTAAAGAGTCACAGCATTAGGAAGGTTGAGAAGCACTGACCTGGAGGACAGAAGGTCAGGAATATTTGACTAACAATATTGATAACTGCTGTGCTGTGTATGCTCTCTCTCTCTCCATCTCTTTCTCTCTGCCTGTATCTGTCTCTGTGTCTCTGTCTCTGTATCTCTCTCTTTTTCTCTCTCTGGTTGTGTGGTTCGTGCATTTAGTATGCAAGTACATGTGCCCATGTCGCTCATGCAGAAGTCAGGGGAAAATATCAGTTTCTTCCTCTGTCACCACCCTCCTTACAGCCTTGAGAAGAGTCTCTCACTGAACTAGAAGCTCACTATTTGGAGTAGACTGGCTGGCGAGTGAGCTCTCAGGATCTGCCCCTCAGTGCTGGGGTTTCAGGCACATGCGGTCCTGCTCAGATTTTTGATGTTTGCTAGGGACTTGAACTCGACTCCTCAGGCTTGCACGGCAAGCACTCTTCCACACAGAGCCATCTCTGCATTCTATTGGTCTTTTAAAGTAATGCCATGAAGAACTCCATTGCTATAGCACCACACCATTTTCAACCCACTTTCCCTAATGAGATTGCTCCCAGTTCCCCAACCACACCCAACTTCTTCTAAATAAACATTTGTTGAGAAAACAAGCAACCCATTGGATGTTTGAAGTCTACCAGGAGAAAGAGGAAACGTTATTATTCCTGTTTTTCCAAACAGGGAAAGTGAGACTCAGACTACTAATCAGGCTGCTCAAGAACACAGAATTCCAGTTTTATTTCTTTGATTTTGATACATGGTCTCACATAGGCCTCAGTAGGCTTAGACCTTTGATGTAGCTGAAGATGACATTGAACTCTTAGTCCTCCTGCCTCTACCTCTCAAGTGCTGTGATTACAGGAAGATCATAGGATTCTTAACTGGCACATTGTCATGGTGAATTCACCAGCCAAGTGTTCAGCTTTGAGTTACAGATTGGTGGTGAGCAGGCCTGTGAGTTCCTTGACCTTTTGGCATTTAGCCCGCTGATCCTTTTGGGAGTTCCTTGGAATAGCAAATGTGTTTCCTGTTGCACAGCAAGGATGCCTGTGTTGGGCCCTACTTGGAAGGGATCCTGGTGGGCTGGGGAATGCCTCTTAGACTTCCTTTGAAAAGCAGCAAGCTGGATTCCTTATAATAGGGACCAAATGCATAAAAGACATATAAATGAAGCCATTGAGAGCTGGAAGTAGGGCAGCCAATTCCTATGCTGGCCTCCTCTTCATCTCAGGAAAGGGTGAATCTGGGCCATCCTTTCTTCTCAGAGTACCTGGCACCCACCAACAGGCAGCCTTGCTAAGCAGAGTCTTGCTCCATGTGTGGGAATGTACTGCCTAGCCCACAAGGAGGGGCGGCTGAAAAGGGGAAACAGGCTGTGAGTCCCAGAGTCCTGAAGGGACTGGGGAAGGGGAAATCATGCATTGTAGATTAGTACCAAGAGGTAGGCAAGGATTTCAAAACAGTGGCCCACAGCTCTCCTCAAGGGTAACTGGAACCCTGCCTTCTCTGTGTATTAGTGTGTAAGTATCAGTGATCAGGTGGTTAAGACATGAGACCCATGAAACAGACTGCAAGCTGAGTAGCTCTAATCCAAAAATGTGTGGACCCCAGTGTGGTTTAGCATGTGGGAATGTTTGCACACATCTAATGAGGTACTGGAGATGAGACCCAAGTCTAGGAACAAGTTCATCTGTTTCATACACTGCTGTGCACATAACCTAAAGATAACTGTAGACGATATTTTTGGCACAGCTATGTTTTGTCTATGACCTGTAACCTGTAGAATTTCCCACTTAAGGTATTTTGTTAACACTTAAAAAGCTGCAGAGTTTGAAATACTTTGGGTTTCAGGTTTCTAGGGATACTAACTTGTATTCTTAAATTCTGCTTCTAGCCTTAATAGTATGGGCAAATTATTTTGTTTCTGGACCTTGAATTTATTATCTGCAAAAATGATGCTGATGCTTTATTATTCAATAGTAACTGTGGGAGATGGGAACTGGAGAGATGGCTTCACAGTTAAGAGAACTAACTGTTCTTCCAGGTTCAATTCCCAGCACCCACAAGGCAGCTCATACCATCTGTAACTCCAGTTCCGTGGGATCTGATGCTCTTTCTTCTGGCCTCCTCAGGGACAAGGCACATACATGGTGCACAAATATACGTGAAAGCAAGACACTCATAAACATAAAATTTTAATAAATAAATTTTTAGAGTAAATATGTAGGGATGGATAGATGGCTCAGTGATTAAGAGTACTGGCTGTTGTCCCAGACAATCTGGGTTCAATTCCTAGTACTCATAAGGCAGCTCACAATTGTCTATAACTCTAGTTTCAGGGAACCCGACACCCTCTTCTGACTTCCCTGGGCACCAGACACACGTGTGGTACACAGACAAACATGCAGGCAAAAATATACCCATGCACATAAAAATTAACTAACTAAACAAATAAATAAATAAAGTGTGTGGTCGTGTGCCAGCTACCTTTATCCTCTGCCTGTGAGTGTACTCAGCCTCCTTATGCCAGCCAGATCATTTAGGGCCAGATTCCTTAGTTGTTACATTCATTTGCTGGGAATTCACTTACATCTCTTCCCTGTGTGCTGTGAACAATAAACCTTACATTCAAAAAAAAATGTGTGTGGTATGTGTATATATATGTATGTCTTGTGTATGAGGTGTGTGGTATACATTGTATACATGGTGTATATCATATGTATGTTGTGTGTGTAGTGTATGTGTATATAGAATGCATGTGTGTGATATAACATATGTGTCTGTATGTGTTTATGTGTATGATGTATATGTATGTGTATATGTGTGGTGTGTATGGTATATGTGTGGAATGTGTGTATGATATATGTGTATGTGGTGTACGGTGTGTATATATGTATATATGTGGGGGTGTTGTATATGTATGCATGTATATGTGTGCACATGTGTGTGAAATGTATGTGTATGGTATTTGTGTGTTATGCATGTGTGTGGTGTAGTGTATGTGCAGTGTTTATGTATATGTATGGCGGGTGTGGTGTATGTGTGTATGTGCATGTGTGTGGTATGTATGTGTAGGGTTTGTGTGTGTGTGTGTGTGTGTGTGTGTGTGTGTGTGTGTGTGTACATACAAAGTTTGAAAGTACTCATATAGAGACTAGTGTATTCATCCCCTGCCTAGCTTCTTACATGGATAGATGAGAGTCTAACACAGATCATAATGCTTGCAGAACAAGACTGTTACCCAGAGATCCTTCTCCCCAGGGAAGCACACACATGAACACCACAGATGCACACATCATATACATGCAAATTTGAAATGAGAGAATACGGGAACCATCTGAAGTAACAAAATAATTCCAGCACTTAGGAGGCAGAGGAAGATGGATTTCTGTGAGTTCAAGGCCAATCTAATATACAAAGAGTTCCAGGACAGCCAGGGCTGTTACACAAGAAACCCTGTCTCAAAGAACAAACAAAAAATAAAAACTAGAGGAAGAAAAGGCAATCACAGACTGACGATGAGAAATGGAAACAAATAGAGACCGCAAAGAGAAATGTCTTTCCTCATTTCTGACCCAGTGTCAGGGTCTGTGCGCCTCCACTGCCCTTGCTATCCTCTCCTACCACCCGGGGTCACACTGTGCTTCTCAGACCTGAGTGGGCATCAGGATCATCTGGAGGCTCGTGACAACTCAGATTGCTTGGCTGACCCCAGAAAGGCTGACCCCATGCATCTGGGGAGGGACCCGTGAATTCACCTGGATCACCAGCAACCTTCCAGGGACAAGTAGCTCAGCATCAACCAGTATGTACAAGCAGATGGTATCTCCCTCTGCTTGCAACATCCCTGGACATGGAGAATTTACAACCGTGCCCCGGTCTACCCAGTTGACCCTATGCTGCCTGGTAGTTTCTTGTGCCATTTCTCAACTCTTAATAGTTTTGAGAAGTTATAAAATTAAGAAAGAGATTAGGAAAGTGTAGGTTGATAATTTAAGATAGTGTAACGCTGTGAGCCCTCATACTGTTTCGTTATGTTATTTTCCTTCACATTTTGCTGGAGTGAGAATTGAAGATTTTAGTGTGAATCTACACTACTTTCTAGAGCTTGAGAACCACTGAAATGAATAATTTTAACAAATAAAATCAACTTGAGTGGGCTGTCGAGATGGCTCAGCAGAGTAATATGTCTGCTGCCAAACCTGATGACCCAAGTTCAATTCCTGAAACCCACATGATGACAAGAAAACTAACTTCTACAAGCTGTCCCCTGAGCAGCACACATATGTCATGACACACATATACTAACATAATACATACAGACACACGTACACACCCATAAATAAATAAAATGTAGTAAAGCTATTTTAAAAATTCCACTTTTATAAAAGGCCATTTTTCAGCATCATTTTAACTCATCTACCAAACTGAAGATACTGCAGAGAGTAGCTATGACAAGAGCACTATTTAGACAACACAGACAGAAGCCCAGTCCCAGGTGAATTAGTGTGTGTCATGTACCCTTTCTTAGGAAGGTGAGAAAAACAATCCCCCCACCCACCCTCACCCAGACATCCCTTAATAAATGCAACAACAGACACTACACATCAGCCTTATCACCTGATCAGGAAAAAGGTATCCACGCCGAGATAGAATGGGCCACTCCGAGAGTAGAGGTACAACGGGTTGACAGGCACTCTGGCTTTCCATTCAAGCACATTATCTGTAACAAATATGTAGAAAGGCAAGGTCTTTTAGTTCAGCCGAAGGAAACCAGAGGACTTTGAGGAAAAGCAAGAGGCATACTTTCAACTTCTGTTCCCACTGGGAGAGCTGTAAGAACAATGTCAGGGGTGAACTTACAGTGGGAATGAGGGTGGTGACTAAGGTCCCTGTCACTCAGGCTGTGTGCTCCCTTTGGGCTCTTATGATGCACACAGTGCTCTGGGACTCTCACAGAGTTAAGACAAGTGCCCATCACATCAGAGACTCCCTGTTAACTGCCCTCAGTGGCCTGGCCTCTAGTTCTGATTCACCTACTTGGTCCCCTGCTGAGAGATGGCCTTTGTTACTGAGTGATGGACATTGAATTATGGATGTGGGTGTGGCAATGTCCAGAAATGACGATTTACTATGGATGCACCACATTTGGTTGTACTTGCCTAATCTTCAGTAATGGGGAAAGCTACCTTCTGGCACACCTAGTAGACAGAGAGCACACACAATGGCTAAGCATCACTGGGTGCCTGATTTCTACCTAGGGGAGTGGTAGTGATTGCAGCCCTGGGAAACTTGGCATAGGAGGTCACATGCCATGGCAAGTCTCAGTGTGTCTCCAGAACAGAAGGAGGGCTGTCTGTTCCTGAGACAGCTGTCAGGCTCCCATCCCATGCCCACTGCTAGCCCACATATAAGGGGCTCTCTTTCCCGTGGACACTGGAGAATAAGCCAGTCAACTCCCCATACCCAAAGACAGCCAAGCAGTCATCTGACTAGTGTGTCCTGAGACAATCCAAAGGAGACTCAGGACTCGGATCCCGTTGAGTGTCTGGCAGGTGTGTCCTGGCAGCTCTGGGGTACAGATGGCCGGAATGTTCTTTTGCCAAGAAAAGCACTGTAGAACTCCATCTATGGCTCCTAGAAACCCTGAGAAAGAGTGGAGTTATCTCCAGTCCTCATGAAAACCAGACCCATCCACACAACACCTTTAAGTGGACCAAAATTCACAAGAGGCCTCAGACTCCAGTTCAAAAACCTGGAGTACTCAACTTGGGCTTCCACAGTCCCCTCAAGGCTTATCTCTGGTCTCTTATATCTGTTTTGGACCTTGACTCTCCCTACCGGTCTTGGCCTGATATTGGTGTTCCACAATGCCTTGTGTTGCCCAAGTTCAGGCACCAGGGAGGCCAATCCCTGCCCCCAGGCCTGCTTTACAAAGGTCAGGAGAAAGTGAAACATCTATCAGACCAGTGGGTCAAAAGAACTAGCATTTCACCTGAAACAGTGTCCTGGGGCTGTCCCAAGAACTCTCACTTTGTACTAATGTCTCCAACATAGGCCAGGTACAAGCATTAGGATGGAAGAGGTGATATGTTAATTCAGGTTGCTCCTTAAAGTTAGGTCCTCCTGGCTCTAAGTCTGGTTTGTAAACCTCAGCAAGTGAATTAACTTCTCTGCACTCCAGTTTCCACATCTGCAAACCAAGAGTCAAGGTAGATCTTGTAGTCATAGAATATTATGAATAACAAATGATATGATGCTTATAAATTACTCTGAATAGAAGCCACCCAGTAATGAGCATTTGCAAGATCATCTTTGCAATTATCAGTATTTGTCACAAGAATAGCTAATCTTGTCTACTTAGCTTATGTCCTGGTGTTGTGATGGTGGTGGTTGTGATCTTTGGGGGTTTTGGGTTTTTTTTTTGTTTTGTTTTGTTTTGTTTTTTGTTTTTGAGACAAGGGTCTGATTATACAGCCCAGGCTGTCCTTGAACTTATGGCAGTCCTCCTGCCTCCATCTCCCAAGTGCTGTATATGGATACACCCACAGTATGTAATCTAAGCCAGGAGTCAATTGAATGAGTGGAATTGGGACACAAGACTCTCCAAAGTCCAAGCCAGCCCTGAGGGCCTCATGTTCTCCTGGGCAAAGCTGAAATACTATGGTTGCAGATACGTCCTTTTAGAATGAAAATGTATTCACAAACGAAGGCTGGCTTATGGCCACACATTAGCTGTCTAAGTCAGTTGTTTGAAATTTAATTTCCTGGCCTCTTGAAATTCTGGCAGTCAGTCTGAGTTTCCCTGTGATGCTCTCCCTGCCTCAGGCATAGCACCCACCCTTTCATTGGCAGGAATTGTGATCCCCAAGCCTTGGCAGTCAGCACTGTGAGCAGCATTGCCGGGCATCTATCTGGTGTCACCTGATTCCTTCCCCAGGTTCCGGTGATGAAAGGCATAGGACCAGGGTTCTCAGCCAAGTTCTCCAACCTCCTGAGCCACATGGCCTCACATGTAGAATACATGTAATTTTGAGCAGTGTTATGAAGATTCCAAAGCAACATCTCTGGCTCAATGCTAACCTTGGCAAGCAAGCCACTCAGTGTTCTTTAGTGTTATTTTTCTATCTAAATTCTACTTTGAGTGAATGGAATCATTAGTGCTTTATAGAATCTTATGGAAACAGCTACGCTATAGGGAAGACAGCCTCTTGGAGTCCTGTTTTACTCATTTGTGGATGGAAATAATTATAAACTATAGAGACAGGGTAGACAAAGGCCATCACTGGCCTAAGTTCCTATGGTTACTGACTCTCAAAGTGGGAGCTCTTGGACCAGTGGTTTCAGCATCACCGGGGAATTTGTTAAACATATTCATCCCCAGGCTCTGAGCAATCCTGCTGAGACATAGTCTTCAGGATTAGTGCCTAGCACCTGACACCTTGCAGGGGAGATTCTGATGTTGCCAAAACTCAAGAACCACCAGGCACACATAGGCTTTCACCGTCTTTGAAGCCCTTCAGGTTTCTCAGCCATCATTTCAGGGGTCCCACTTTAGCCAACAAACCACAGAGTAAGAGGCCTACTCATGGCTGAAACACATAGCTATTTAATTATAAAACTCTTTCTCACACCTCACTCCCTTGTATTGCCTTTTCCAAACAGCAAGGCAGGTTCACTCACCAGGAAAACACACACCCACACATACACACACACACACACACACAAAGCAAAAACAAAAACAAAAAAAAAAAAAAAAAAAAAAAATTAAATTACCAAGAGGCTGAGAAAATTACCAAGAGGCTAAAGAATCAAGAATCCAAAATGTCCAGTTGAACTCTAGCCTTCCAAAAGATAACATTGGTCTTACATTGGTTTGATTTACAGAGGAACATCAAAGTGGAGACGGAAAAATCAATGAATCTTAGGGGTCCCTTCGTCTTGATTTGTACTTCCAAACATTCAGGGACATGTTTTCCTTTGGTCGTATTAAATACAAAAGAAAAATATTGTTACGGCAACCAAACATAGAATGGCCATCTTGAAACCATAGTAAAAAGTAAATGCTAAGAAGCTCAAAGAATCCTGTGAAAAATGGGGAGGTAGGATTGTGGGGACCAGAGGGGTCGAGGACACCACAAGACCATGGCTCACAGAATCAACTAAGCAGGGCTCACAGACACGGAAGCAACAATCAGGGAGCCTGTGTGGGACTTAACTAGGTTCTCTGAATATATGTCCTGGTTGTGTAGCTTGGTCTTCCTGTGGGACACCTTACAATGGGAGCAGGGGTTGTCCCTGCTCTTTTGTCTGCTTTTGGAACCCTTTTCTCCTACTGGGTTGCATCGTTCAGCCTTGTTGTGAGGGCTTGTGCCTAAACTTATTGCAACTTGTTATGCCATGTTCGGTTGAAATCCCTGGGAGGTCTGCTCTTTTCTGAAGGGAAACAGGAGGAATGGATCTGGGGAAAAGGGGCACAGCTGGGAGGAGAGGAGTGAGGGGAAACTGAAGTCAGGGTGTAATATATGAGAGAAGGATAGATAGATAGATAGATAGATAGATAGATAGACAGACAGACAGACAGACAGACAGACAGATAAATAGATGCCAATAAAATTAATGCAGGTCAGGGGGATCTCGGTTTAGGGGAGGAACCTAAGGCCCACACTGGTGCCCAACACTTTATACATGTATTTGCTTTAAGTAAGAGATTGTCCTAAGCATGGGTATCTGAGGTCCAGCCTGGCATTGCTGAAAGCAATGGAAATGTGATGCTTGTCAGTTCACTAGTCTGACAGAGCCCCTGCAAGGTAGCTGGACCTGCTATTTGCTCAGAAAGATTGGGGCATCCCAGCAGGAGGTCTTAGCACAGCCCTTCTTCCCTCTCTTCCAACTGAACCACAGAGACTGAGGGAAAGGGTAAATTTAAGAGGCAAGTACATATAATTGCTTTGAACTCCATCGACTTACCCCATGTCGTCTCTTAGTTTACATATGTGGAAGTTGAGGTTCATTGAGACTAAATGATCCAGCCAAGGTCAGGGTTAGAAGTCGAGGCAGATTTGACTAGGAATGGCCAAGCACTCCTTTCTCTACCGTACTGAAGTTGGACCTGTCTGCAGGTCGGTGAGGTGCAGAGAAAGATCTACAGCCACATCACAAGAGGTCACTGTAGGCTTCTGGAACCTGGGCGAGTCCATGGTTACTGTACTCAAAATGTGATGAGGATGCAATGTAACAAACAGAGAACGGCTTCCCTCCAGGGCTCTGTGTACACACTGAGGGGCAGCAGGGACTGACATTGCCTCCTGCCAGGCAGATCTGCATCTCATTTTGCATAGGAACTGGTCCCCAGAACTCTCAGCCTCTGAGCATCCTCTCAGACTATCTCTGTCTTTTATTGCTTTTTTGATGTTGGAGTTTATGTACTGTAATTAAGTTACTGTCAATGCTGATTTTGTGTAAACTTCAAATAAGATCAGAGAGAAATCACTGCTATGCTTTCCATGTGGGACATATTCCTTGAAGCTACTTAGTTACATATTCATATTTACCCTGCCAACTCCCTGGGATTTTTGAAGGTTTTTTTTTTTAAGACCCTTTTTAGAGTAAGGAAAGACAATTTTGAAGACCTGGGGGGAATTTATTGAAAATTACTCCATATAGATGAAAGGTGTTTGCATAAACAGGCAATTTCTGAATGGTGTGCAGATGATAGATATGTAGGTAAGTAGGCAGTAGATAAGTAGATAATAGATTTAGATAGATGGACAGATAGATAGATAGATAGATAGATAGATAGATAGATAGATAGATATCCATCTATCTATCTATGTTTTCCCTTCCATATAGGCAGGTGGAAATGAAGTTAATATTCTCTCTCTCTCTCTCTCTCTCTCTCTCTCTCTCTGAATCACACTATGTATGTAGTCCTGGCTGGCTTCAAAACCACAGAAGATTCTTCTGCCTTCACCTCTTGTGTTTTAGGATTAAAGGTGTATGTCACCATGGCCCTTGAAACTAATATTCTTAATTTTTCACCAGAGCATAAACACAGTGGGCCTCAATGGAATCATCATTTTGCTACATTGGAGTTGAGTTATCTTTTTCCAACTCAGATACATTGATTAGCTTTGCTTGCACATTCACCCCAACCACTTGCTTCAGAGTTGTACAAGAATCTATAGCACTAAAAATAGCATGATCACAGCATAACTACAGCGAACTCCTTAACTCTCTGCTGCCCCAGGCTTTTGTCAGCACAGAAACACACTGGATAATTGTACCCGATATAAACCATCATTGTTGGTGACTTTGCCTTGCCTTAGCACCCTGATGGTGAACAAAGACTGAATTGTGAACAGTGGAGATCCAGCCTCCACTGACATTTAGGAGCTGCTGGGCATTCGCTAGAATCCAAACAGGAGGAATTATTTTCTAACCACACACTTCTCTAGGTCATTTCTCTGGGGTGGTCCTAGTTTAAAATGCTTACTTTTTCCTCTGCTCAGGGGTCCTGGTGGGGAGAGGTGAACTTGGCAACTGGTCTGCTGGCTCCTCCTTCTTTGCCCATTGCTCTCCATGTTTCTCAAAGGCAGACTCTCACAACCTGCAGGAGAAGTCCCATGTGCCCTCGATGTCCTGAGGTCCAAGCCCCAGCCCCTGGCCATCATGTAAACAGTCCCAGCCACAGGAAGGACAAGGCCTAGCAAGGTGATGAACCTGTAGAAAGAAGACAACCGACCAGGCCTTCACATAACACCAAAGGTGCAGAGAAAGCAAGCCTGGGAGAAACAAAATCATCAACTGGAAATGGAGGCACTCCTGTAACCCCAGCATGCTGGAGGCTGAATCAGGGTCCTGAGTTCAAGGCTAATGTGCACAGAGACATGCTGTCTCAAAAAGAAAAACAAAACAACAACAAGAAAAGGGATTTTCAGCCCTTTCAGGAAAGACTAGAGATGGATGCATTTGGTGGTGGTGGTCCTGGACCCCACTTAAATGTGCGCTTGGTCTGTCTTCCCTAGAGTGCTTTCAAATTTCCTTGTTTAACGGTGATCTCCCTGTGTTTTAGTCAACACAGGGTGCTGTAACAAAATGTCATGGGCTGGTGGCTTATGAACAATAGAACATGATTTTTTTTATTATTATTCTGGAAGATGGGAGTCTCCACATCAAGTCACCAGCAGACTTTGGGTTTGGAAAGGGCCAGTTTTCTAATTGTTGATACATTCTAGCTGACCTCATATTGGAGGAAGGAAGGTGTGAGGAACCTTTCTTGGTACCTTTTAGGAGGACATTAATCTCATTTGTAAGGGTGGCTCGTCATGGCCTGCTTACCTACTCAAGGCCCCACCTGACTCCAACATGTTCAGGATTAAGTTTCAATGTTAGAGTGGACACAAAATTCAGACCATTGAACTTGGAAGCCAGGCAGCATTGGCCAGTCGCCATTCAGTGAATTAAGTTTAACACAGTGCAGTTGGTGAGAGAGGCTGATAAGACGACATTGACTGACATCAGTCCCAGCTGGGTACCTCAGATGCCCATACTTACAGGCACACGGTGGCAAACGTGTCCAGTGGAAACACCCCAGCAGCACATCTGGCCACACTTTCACAAGGTGAGGAGGAAGAGTTTTTTGTAAAGAGGGAGAGGGAAGGCGCCAAAAATGAAGTATTTCTGAACCTTAGAATATCTACCAAGAGAGAAGAAGAGGCCATGTCAGTGCTTTAGACCTTCCCAAGTGTATTCATTGCACACAGAGCTGGAATTTTTTGACATGCATTGGCTTTCCAAGGCTGACAGTATTTTTCGATTACAGACTCTTCATCATTATTCTTTAAATGATATAGTATGACTATAGTGTAACTATGCACATGGCCTTCACACTAAGTGTTATAAATAATCGAGAGATGGTTAATAGTGAGCAGGAGGATTATGTAAATTCTATGCAAACACTATGGAATTTTATGTAAAGGCTTGCGTTCCTGTGGATTTCAGTCTCCTGCGGGTCTTGGAACCAATCTACCATGAATACCAAAGACCAAATTTATCTGCTTTAAGAATAGTGGGAGGGAAATAAGAAACAAAGATGCCGAAAGTGGGTAGAGACATGTGTCAGGGATTAAAAGTGAATACTATTCTTCCAGAGAACCAGAGTTTAGTTCCCAGCATTTACATCAGACAGTCCACAACTTCCTATACGTCTAGCCCCAGGGAAGCTGACACCCTCATTTGGCCTCCCTCCACAGGCACTTGTGCAAACGCATTCATACACACAAACACACACACACACACACACACACACACACACACACACACACACACGCACCTACCTTAAAAAATAAATTCTTAAAACATAAAAAGGTGCCGAAGGCCACATGTCTTAGTTAGGATTTTGATTGCTATGATGAAACACCACTAAGAAAAGGCAAGTTGGGGAGGAAAGGGTTTATTTGGCTTACACTTCAGCACTGCTGTCCATCAGTGAAGGAAGTTAAGGACAGAAACTCAAATAGGGCAGGATTCTGGAGTCAGGAGCTGATGCAGAGGCCATGGAGGAGTGCTGCTTACTGGCTTGCTTCCCCTGGCTTGCCCAGCCTGCTGTCTTATATAACCCAGGACCACAAGCCCAGGGATGGCACCACTCACCTCAGGCTGGGCCCTCCCCCATTGATCACTACTTGAGAAAACTCCTTAGAACTGGGTCTCATGGAGGCATTTCCTCAGCTGAGGCTCCTTCCTTTCTGATGACTCTAGCTTATGTCAAGTTGACACACAAAAGCAGCCAGTATACCACAGAGCTAGGCGGAAATGGACTAGTCTTCTGAACTCTCTGTCCGTAGATCTCTCACATCCCTTCTGGCACACAGCCCTGGGAACGCTAAATCTAAAAGGTGCTGGTACTGACTCAAGTCTGTGAGCAAGTCTCTGCAAGAGACTCCAGGATGACCACCATTCAAAACTCAAGCTCACTTGGGAACACCAACTCAGGACAGGTGTGTGGTGAATTGGAAGAATCAATACGTAAGAATCTTACCAATCAGACCAGTGTTCCATCTCAAATGCTGGCAAGTCAGAGTGACCCGGGGTGAAGGGAGAACTATTGGCCCCTCCCTGGAGGCTTCAGACCTGGAAGTCTGGGAGTGATCTTGGATCTATACTCTTGCCACTCACTCCCCAGGGCCACACTCCGAATCAAGACCTGAGCACTGCCCAATCCCTGGCAAACATTGAGGATATGTGGTTCCACAAAATGACCATACTGATTATTATAATGGCCACAGATGCCACAGTTCATTAAGTGACTATGAGACATGAGGTGTGGTTCCATTACTGTTTGTAACTTTTACCAACCTGTAAGATGTGCTCACCGAAAGGTTGAGTCAGGCAAAGAATAGAAGATAACAAGAATGGAGATACCATAATAGAGGGAGATATTTTAGGTTTACAGAGAAATCAGGCACTAAGGAAATGTCTGGAGATCTACAAAGATGACACCAGCTAACAATCTAAGCAACAGAGAAGAGGCTACCTTAAATGCCCTCCCCTGATAATGAGATTAATGACTGACTTAAATGCCACCTGATAGCCCTCATCCAGCAGCTGGTGGAAGTAGAAGCAGACACCCACAACTAATCACTGAACTGAACTGGAATCCAGTTGCAGAGAAGGACAAGGGAAGAGCAAAGGGGTCCAGACCAGGCTGGTGAAACCCACAGAAACAGCTGACCTGAACATCGGGGAACTCTTGCTCCACAGACTGATAGCTGGATACCAGCATGGGGCTCTTCCAGACCCCAAGAACATGGGTTTCTGTGAGGAAACCTAGGAAATCTACAGGACCTCCTGTAGTACTCCCTGAGCCAAGACACACAGGGGTGGGCCGAGGCCCTATCCCAAAGGATACGATAGACTCTGATGACACCCTATGGAAGGCCTCACCATCCAGGGGGAGCAGAAAGGATATGTGAAAGGTAGGGTTTTAGTTGGGGGGGTGGTAGGGGAGGAGGTGAGGGAGAGAGAACTGGGATTGTCATGTAAAACAATCTTGTTTCTAATTCCAAAAAAAGAGATGTGCTCACCCTATCTTACACACAGGAGAATTTGCCTCACATAAATTCATCAGATTGAACATACTAGTTAAGAATACAGTTTCAGGAGGCTAGAAGGAAGGCTGTGAGAGAGCACAATGTTCTTCTAGGGGACCCAGGTTCAATTCCCAGCAGCAGCAAAAGAAAAGTTGCTGATGACATTGCCATAGCAACCAGTGACTGGAAAGATCTGAGGATGATGGAGAAATGACAACTCGGGACAAACAGGCCCAGATAAGGTTGCACCTTCTGCCTCTGCCCCACCATCAAAGCCCACAGGAAGCTATGGACACAGAAAAGTCCAGAAAACAGTAAGCACATTGGAAATAATGCTTTTGATGAGGTTGCCAAGAGTTCCTTGCAGGTGCCTCACCAGTATTTAGCCAAAGAACTTTCAGGAACTATTAAGAAGAACCTGGGGTGAGCTAGATCAATAGCTCAGCAGCTAAGAGCACTGACTGCTCTTCCCGAGGTTCTGAGTTCAATTCCCTCCAACCACATGGTGGCTCACAACCATCTATAATAGGATCTGATGCCCTCTTCCAGCATGCAGGTATACATGCAGCATTCATACATAAAATATTAATTAATTAATTAATTAATTAATTAATTAAAGATCCTCGGGGCTACAGTGTGGATAGCTGCCACTCTCTTGAAATCATAGGTGATATCAGGGGAGTGCTTTAGTAATTAAGAAGCAACAAGAGAAAATGTTTTAATAAAAGACTACTGGACAAAAAAAAAATCCTCTTGAATCCTAGCCAGAGAAAAACCTGTGGCTAATTCAAGGAGTTTCTACCAGATAATTGCAGCTTCTCAGTCAGCATTGGGGAGTCATGAGAGATCTGAGGGGAAGACAGCTTTTGCCAAGCCACTGGTCAGCTTGGTTCTTTTAACAAGTAAGGCTATTCAAAATCAGCCAACCATCATTACACTGAACCTTGATGCCAGGCAGCTCAGATCTCAATGCTTTTGGCTCCTGCCAAACTGAGAGTGTGAACAGCAAAAAATGTTAGAAAATTTCTGAAGGACAGACCTAGAGTGAGCCCCTGAGAATAGAAATGTGGAGCTACCTATTGTTGGTGGCAGATAAAATTCACCGGCCCGGTGTTAAACAGAACATGGTGTGTATACAAGCCAAGGAGGCACTGTGTATCTACAACCCAAGGTGTGTCTATAGCCAAAGCAACCTGTTTGTCAACAAGCCAAGGAAACAAGGTATAGCTATAAGCAAATGAGTGTCTAGAACTGCTGGCAGCCCCCAGCTAAGGGAGGGGCATACACTAGACCCTGCTAGGTAGCTCTAGAAGCAATCAATCTCATCAACACCTGATTTCATATGTCTACTGTCCAGAACTGTAAGAAAATAAAATTCTGAAGTACTGTAGCCTGGCACCAGGAGCCTTGAGAAATGAATACAGTAAGAGATTCCCACTAGATTTCATACTTTTTTATCCAGATTTGATCTAGAGTCTATATACCCTGGGATGACACAATTTTATTCTCAGGAAGCCACACACATTCAGTACTCTTCACATTACTGTGACCAAAAACCTGACAAGATGTAATTGAAGGCAGGAAGGATTGATTTTTGGCTCATGGCTTGATACAGTCCCTTGTGTCAGGGAAGTCCTGGTGCATGAGTGGCTCACAGCTGTGACAGAAGGAGCATGAGGCTGCTTGCTCACATCACTGTGGACCCAGAAAAAGAGAATGCAGGCACTGACCTTACTTCCTACCTTTCCTCTTTTATTCAGTCTTCACCCTGAGCCACACATTGGACTAGAGCCACACATTCAGGATGTGTCCTCCTGTAACCTCTAGACACACCCTCACAGACACTCGAGGTATGTCCCCCAGGTGATTCTAAATGCAGTCAAGCTGACAATGAAGATTAACTATCACATCATGCAATGTCTGTTAGTTGAAATGCTCCAACATGCCACAGAAACCACTGTACAGCAGGTCCTCCAGGCTCTGGCCCTCCTACCTATCCAGGGTCTCTCTCTCTCTCTCTCTCTCTCTCTCTCTCTCTCTCTCTTCTCTCTCTCTGTGTGTGTGTGGGTGTGTGGGGGTGTGTGTGTGTGTGTGTGTGTGTGTGTGTGTTCCTGTCTCTGTCTGTCTGTCTGCCTGGCTCTGTCTGTGTGTGTGTGTCTTCCTGTCTCTGTCTGTCTGTCTTTCTGTCTTTCTGTCTGTCTGTCTGTCTCTGTCTCTGTCTGTCTGTCTCTCTCTCTCTCTCTCTCTCTCTCGCTCTCTCTCTCTCTCTCTGCAATGCTATGATCATCCTCCCTTGGCCTGGCTGCTGTGTGACTGAACTTGTTCTCCTGTTCTCCTGAGCAGCGCCTGTGCCAACAGCAGCCACCTGGTGTTCCTGAACTGCACGCCCTCACATCTGGAGGGGAGATACCAGAAATGCCATCAAAAGACTTTAAGAAATAGCTGACAAATCCTTTCCAGATGGGGAACTGTTCCCCTGGGGGAAAGATGCTCTGATCTCAAGCCCTGCCTCTGTGCCAAAGCTGAAGAGAGGCTCTGCTGGCCAACCCTAACTTCCCCAGCACCGCCCCCGCCCCATGTCAGCTCAGCGTTCACCCTAGCTTGGCTTGGTTCTTCTGGTTTCTCAGGAAGCACCTTCTTCTTGTCTCTCGGAGAATAAAAATATCTTTTCTCATCAGCAATGACTGTCAGCATTTTGTTTCATTCAGTCAGCTCTGGCTAATACTAAACGGGCTCCTTAGTGTTAGCCAGAAATATCAGAGTAACCGACGAATCTCCTAAAGCAAGGCAAATCATTAAACTTGGGGCCTTGATTACTCATTTGAAATGCTAATTTCATAGTAGCTACACACCTGCCTTTGTTTCTATTATATTCATCACTTATCTATCAAGAACCAAAATTTGTCTTTGATTCATAACATGTTTCATATCATTTGTAGTACTGAGCAAGAACTGGGCCTCTGAGATAGGTCACCAGCTCTTATTTTATTTTTTATTTTTGATACAAAATATCTTGCTATGTAGCTCAGGTTATCTTCAAACTTGCTCTGTAGCTCAGGCTGACCTCGGACTCATGACCCCTCCTCCCTTATCTTCTGGAGTGCTGGGGTTGCAGGCATATGACAACATGCTTGGCTTTTTGTTTGTTTGGTTGGTTGGTTTGGTTTGCTTGTCTTTAAACAGCACATGAAACACGCGGCTAGATAGATAATGTACTCAAAGCTGTGAGTGTTATTATAAACTCGGAGGGCAAATTAAAATTACTAAGAATAGCTTCCCTATCAACACTTTGAAGGAGAACTCTCAGTCATGAGTTGTTAGCTCTTTTGTAGATGACCAAAATTAATATTCATCACTAGTGATAAAAACAAATTTTAGGCTTTAAAGCTCTTGCTTAGAAATTTTTGAAATACTTGTAAAAGATCAAGCCAGTTTTCATGGGCTGAAATGTATTCCTCTGCATGGCCAGAGGTCAGACATCATTGTGAGGTGGTAGGCCGATGGGAGCCTCTGAACTTCAGAGCCTGGAAGTCCCCTGCTGCAGAGACAGAAGACAGAAGCTCAGGGACATTACATGATTTGCTCAGGGTCACACGTCTGGGAAGTGACAACCAGGACCAAATGCTAGGTTCTCAGTACTAATCCACTGCAACCTATTGGCCTCACACAATCCAAGTTCCAAATGGCCTTTTTGACCCTGCAGTTGGCAGACACCCAGGTAGAGCAGAGAATTCACAGTATGGAAACCAGATACTGCCCACTCCTGTCACCAGGCCTAATGAGGCAGCTGTGAGGAGACTATTAAACTTTCCATCTTTATTACATCAGGATCCAGCAATTATCTACTGGCTATTGCTTTTCTCTTCCTTTCCCATCTTCTCCACTACCACCCTATCACCTCTGTTCCCAACTTTCCTCGACTCCATCATTCTTAGTTAAGCTGACTGACCAAGATGAAGACTTAGTATGGCCATGAAGGCCCTGAAGGCATTGCCTTTGTTGACTCTAAGCAGTCGGAATTTTCAAGCTTTATGCTGAGACAGTAGTCTGACTGTATTTTTTTGTACTTACCCAGCTGAGATATCATGGTCACATCCTCTTCACCACAAGAATCAGGGACACACACACCCACACTGTAGTCAGCTCCATCCTGGGAAACACAATGCCCTTTAATGTTAGTGCTTGGTACATACACACACACACACACACACACACACACACACACACACACACACGCTCATCTGTGTGCGTAAAGGGGGCGTTGTGTGTGTGGGTTGGGGGATGTCTTTCCCTCATCACACTCCACCTTATCTTTTGAGATAAGGTTGAACCTACAACTCATCAGCTTTGGCTAAATTGGCTAGACATGATTTCACAGGATCTGCTTTCTCTGACACACACACACACACACACACACACAAACACACACACACAAACACATAACACACACACACACACACACACACACACACACACACACACACACACCACCCAGGAGCTTGGACTGTAGACCTCACCCAGCTTTACATGGGTGCTGGGGAATCTACCCATGGGTCTCCGCCATTCTGAAGCAGTCACATGATATACTGAGCCATCCCTCCAGGCCCTTTTGTTTTCTGAAGCCTGGCCTCTAGTAATTCAAGAAGTCCTTGATTTCTTAATCCTCCTGTGCCTCAGTCTCCCAAGTGCTGGGATTACAGTAGCAAAATGACAGCTATGAAGAAGCAACGAATATAATTTTAACGGTTGCAGGGGCTCACCACAACATGAGGAACTGTATCAAAGGGTCACAGCATTAGGAAGGTTGAAAACCCTGGGCTACGATGCAAGTTCCAGGTCAACCTTTTCTATATAGTGAGATCTTGTCTCAAAAGCAGCAGAAGAATAAGCAAAAAAAAAAAATCTAGTCGCCACTTCTTGCGAGACGTTTTAATAGTTTCCTTTTCTGTTTTCAGTTAGGAAAAGCAATTGATAGAGTCTTATCATGATCTGTATCTTATAAACCATCCTTTGAGAGCGAGCACACAGGTCCCTTCCACTTACCTGCAGTATGTGAAGCTTGCAGTACTGGCCTCGGAAACTTCCCCCAGGGCCCTGGGTGGAAAGGCACTCACTGTAGGATCCCAGTCGGTCCACATTGCCATTGAGAACATTGCTTCCAAGCTTCCCCACAGAGTCATACACTGAATTCCAGAGCAGAAGTTTGCATAATTAGTTTCCCTATGCCATTTAGGAATAAATTATGAGGACTTGAGTTCGTATCCCCAGAACCCAAGTGAAAAGCTTAGCTGGAGGGGGAGGTCGGGGAGGGGGGCGCTTGTACCTGGAACTATGTATGTCTGTTTCAGCGGAAGCCAGAAGAGGCTTCAGATCCCCTGAAACTGGAGTTAGAGCAGTTGTGAGGAATTCTGGTTCTCTGAAGACCCCCCCCCCAAGTGTTCTTAACCACTGAACTATCTCTCCTGCCCCTCTCTCTTTTGGTTTTTTGTTTGTTTGTTTCATTTTTTCCAGACAGGGTTTCTGTTTAGACTTGGCAGACCTAGAACTTTCTCTGTAGACCAGGTTGACCTCAAGCACACAAAGATCTACCTGCTTCTGCCTCCCAAGTGTTGGGACTAAAGGTGAATGCCACTGCCACCCAGGTCTTTTTGCTATCTTGTTCTGTGAGCCTCTTCCCCCTTTCACTCTGGAGAAAGTGTGGCTATTACTTGTTCAAATGTTCTTTCCTTTCCTTTGTTATATTTCTATTTCTATATTATCATCCCACCATAGCCATTATAATCCCTCTCTTCATTTTTCTTTTTTTTTCACTTTCCATCTATTTTTTTCTGTTCTATTTTGAGAGGGCTATTGAATTGAGCTAGCTCACCAAATTTTCTCTCTCTCCATCCTAATATTACCCATTTCATTATGTATCAACTCCAATATCTCTACTATCTTTAATATCGAACTTTGGTGTATAACTTTGTATTACCAATATTCTTTCATCACATTGGGCATATTTATCTGCTTATTTTAATTTCTTGGCAGCCCATTGGGTTCCAGTTCATGTAGCCCATGGATTTGCTTAGTTCATTATCATTCTTCTGTGTTTACTCCCCAGGGATTTCTGTGCTGTGGTCTCTGCACACTTCTTCTCTTTGTTGAGTACAGCGAAGAATGTGTGCAGCCCATAGCCCAGGTGGACCCTCCCCTCAGAATTTTAAGGACAGTGAAGACAAAAGATTGTGACTGGTGGAACATGCCTTTAAACCCAGCATTCAGGAAGCAGAGGCAGGCAGACCTCTGTGAATTTGAGGCCAGCGTCGCCTACAGATGGAGTTCCAGAACAGCAAGGACTACACAGAGAAACCCTGTCTCAAAGGAAAAAAAAAAAAAAAAGATTGTAACTGTCCTCAAAGGAATGAAACACCAAGTACAGGTTTGTGGAGTTGGAGAGGTGGCTTCACAGTTAAGAGCACTGGGTTCTAGAGGACCCAGGTTCAATTTCCTGTACCCATGTGGCGGCCTTGTAACTCTAGTTCCAGAGCATTCGAAGTCCTCTTCTAGCCCCCTCTTGCACTGCATGCATGTGGTACAGAGAGACAGGCAGGCAAAACACCCATATGCATAAAATATTATTTAATTTTAAATTAAAAAAACTTCTAACATGTGATTCCATCTCTAAAATATTAACAGACACTTGTGCCCCTCCCTTCAGCTATCAGACTATGGAGACAATGGACTCTGGGAAATTAGACATTTTCCCAGAGATCTCATGCTGGGGGAAGGAAAATACTAGAGGTGGGTGGTAACCAGCGGGAGCTTGTCTCCTTGGAAACAGATTTCACACAGCTGGTAACTTGTTAGACCACCTTGCTGGGGAGACTACAGCAGGGACAATGATAATAAGCAGGGCCATTTTGACCAAGACCCTGAGCTGTGCGTATGCCTTTTACCTTCTATTTAAACCTAAATTTTGTATCAGGACCCTGAAGACGGATTGTGGAGGCAGAGGGAGAGCAGCCACTGGATCACCTTGTTCCTCTGCCTGATGCAGCCACATTGAACACCTCTCCTTTCTTTGCTTTTCACTATGACTTATCTGTTCCTTGAGATCAGGCTATGCCCCATTCTAAGTTACTCCACACTGGAAAACAGGCTGTGCCTTTGCCTGAGAGACTCCATTTTGCAAGCAGCTTTTGACTTCATTTTGAAGATGGAGGATGACTGTACTCCTAGGGAGACAAGTGAACACACCCATACACAGAGACACACACGCATGTATGCATGCACAGGTGTGTTGCACAGGCACACACACGGTGTACACACACACACACACACACACACACACACACACACACACACATACACACTCCCCACAGGACTCCAGGCACAGCCCACAGAATCCAGGGCCTTCTCTCAATGAATATATGAATTTCTTAAATGCTACTTTCCTTCCTCACTCCCTCCCTCCCTACCTCCCTTCCTTCCTTCCTTCCTTCTTTCCTTCCTTTATTCCTTCCCTTTAAACAAAACAAGGTTTCAATAAGACCTTCTTGCAGGCTAGGCAACCATTATTCCCAGCCCCTTCTCTTTTTCTTTGTACCAGCTCCATATTATTTTTTAAGTTCCACTTTATTCATTTATTTGTGGGAAAAGCATAAAGCATGAAGAGGCCAATGAAGGTCAAGGGTGATGCTTGGACAAGAATATTTCCTGGGTGATACTAATGTGTAGCCTAGTGTGACTTCTCTGGCCACTAAGATTTCTGTTGGACTCCTGAGCAGGGCTTCAAAGGGCCCTTCATGTCCTGACTTGCCCTCTGGTCTCACCCTCCCAGCCACAGCCAGAACATTCCCTTTGCTCCAGTCTAAAGACCTACCAAGCTAACACTTGTTGGCCTTCCAGCTTGGGCTGTCCCTCCTCCCAGTCCGCTGGCAATAACTGAGTCATCCTTCAAGTCTGGGCTAGAGGACTCTCTCTCCTAGGAAACAATCCAGCTTGCTCAGTGTGTCACACTGACACACTGTGTCATCACTGTGTCTCGTCTGTCTCCCAGGAGGGTAAGATTGTGCCCTGTGTTAGTCAGTGTATACATCTTTTTTTTTTTTCTGCAGAGTTTTTTATTTGAATTAGAAACAAGATTGTTTTACATGACAATCCCAGTTCCCTCTCCCTCCCCTCCTCCTCTACCATCCCCCCAAAACCCTACCTATCACATATTCTTTAGGCTCCTCATGGATAGTGAGGCCTTCCATAGGGTGTCATAAGATTCTATCATATCCTTTGGGATAGGGACTAGGCCCACCCCCATGTGTCTTGGCTCAGGGAGTATTCCTCTATGTGGAATGGGCTCCCAGAGTCCACACGTATGCTAGGGATAAGTACTGAACTACTACAGGAGGTCCTGTAGATTTCCGAGGTTTCCTCACAGAAACCCATGTTCTTGAGGTCTGGATCAGTCCCATGCTGGTATCCCAGCTATTAGTCTGTGGAGCAAGAGTTCCCCGATGTTCAGGTCAGCTGATTCTGTGTGTTTCACCAGCCTGGTCTAGACCCCTTTGCTCTTCACTTGTCCTTCTCTGCAACTGGATTCCAGTTCAGTTCAGTGATAAGTTGTGGGAGTCAGCTTCTACTTCCACCAGCTGCTGGATGAGGGCTATTGGGTGACATATAAGTTAGTCATCTCATTATCAGGGGAGGGCATTTAAGGTAGCCTCTCCTCCGTTGCTGAGATAGTTAGCTGGTGTCATCTTTGTAGATCTCCAGACATTTCCTTAGTGCCTGATTTCTCTGTAAACCTAAAATGTCTCCCTCTATTATGGTATCTCCATTCTTGTTATCTTCTATTCTTCCCTTAACTCAACCTTTCTGCTCCCTCATGTCCTCCTCACCCCTCCTCTTCTCCCCTTCTCATTCTTCTATCTCCCTCCTCCCTCTTCCAGAACTCCCAATTTGCTCAGGAGATCTTGTCCCTTTCCCCTTCTCCAGGGGGCCATGTATGTGTCTCTCTTAGGGTCCTCCTTGTTTACTAGCTTCTCTGACAGTGTGGATTGTAGGCTGGTAATCCTTTACTCTATGTCTAAAATCCACATATGAGTGAGTACATACTATATTTGTCTTTTTTGTGATCGGGTTACCTTGCTCAGAATGGTTTCTCCGAGTTCCATCCATTTTCCTGCAAATTTCAAGATTCCATTGTTTTTTTCTGCTGAGTAGTACTCCATTGTGTAAATGTACCACCTTTTCTCTATCTATTCTTTGGTTGAGGGGCATATAGGCTGCTTCCAGTTTCTGGCTATTACAAATAGCGCTGCTATGAACATCGCTGCACAGATGTCCTTGTTGTATGAATGTGCTTCTTTTGGGTATATGCCTAGAAGTGGAATTACTGGATCTTGTGGTAGACTGATTCCCATTTTCTTGAGGAGTAGCCATACTGATTTAAAAGTGTCTGTACAACTTGGCACTCCCACCAGCAGTGGAGAAGTGTTCCCCTTTCTCCACTTCCTCTCCAGCCTACAATTCACACTGCCAGTGAAACTAGTAAACAAGGAGGAACCTAAAAGGGGACAAACTTTGTCCCCTGGAGAAAGGGAAAGGGTCACGATCCCCTGAGCAAATTAAGAGCATGGGAAGAGGGGGAAGGGAGGTATGAGAATGAGAAGGGAAGAAGAGGAAGGATGTGAGGTCATGAAGGAGCAGAAAAGTTGAGTCAGGGGAAGAATAGAAGAAAGGATATGTAGGGTTTTAGTTGGGGGGTGGTAGGGGAGGATGGGATGGAGAAGGGAACTGGGATTGTCATGTAATTCAATCTTGTTTGTAATTCAAATAAAAGAAAAAAAAAGAAAAGCATTTTGTACATAAAAAAGGTATGAAAGTAATAGCCCCACATAACTCATCAGTTCCTTAAGGAATATGAGAGTAAAGCACTCATGAGTGGTATAGATATGTGTATATGCATCTCAGTTTCAGGAGATCCCATTTATCAATTGTTGATCTCTGTGTCTGTGCGACTGGTGTTATGTTCAGGAAGTAGTCTCCTGCACCAATTAATTCAAGGGTATTTCCCCCTTAAAGTTCTAATAAGTTCAGTGTGGCTGGATTTATGTTGAAGTCTTTGATCCATTTTGACTTAAGTTTTGTGAATGGCAATAGACTTGGATCTATCTGCAGTTTTCTACATGCCTGCATCCAGTTA